TTTTATGAATTAATTTTTTATTAATTTTATTTTATGAATAAAATTAAAATAATTTTATTCCTGTAACTCCTGTTCCACCCTGTCTTCAATGTGCTTTCTTAATGATTGCTCCTCCCCGTCCCCACTTTCTTTCACAACCCTTGTAATTGGTGCACCTCTCCTTAAGCATCGCACACTTGCCTCCAGCAGGAGCACTTCTGAAATGCTCTTGTCGCAGCATCCAGTTGACCGCTTCTCTCTGGTACGGCCTCAATACAGGGGTCAATGCAGGGTGCTGGACATCAACTTGGACTGGCCGCGCTTCTTGTTGATGGGTTCGCCTCACAAAGTGATACAGCTCATCAATGTCCTGTCCCTCTGTCTCACTTTCCGAATCCTCCTCATCTTCCAACACATCTATGTATATCCAACAGAAATGCACTCACAATTTGACCTGCCTGGTATAACCACAGGCAATTCCTATTCTAAGAAGACACCATGCACTCATCCCACTCCAGCACCTTGCACAGTATGTTCTGTGACTGAAAATCCTTATCAATTCCTCACTGAGCAGAAAATGTACCCATTGTTCTTCAAGATAGTTCATCTGCTACTTTTTCTATGGCATTTCTCTTGTTTTCCCAGGCTGGAATTAATGTTCTCTTCTATGTTCACATGATCTTTTTGGACTTTGGCTTTAACAGCGCATTGTAATCTATCTGGTACTGAAATCACTCGTGTACTTGTCATCCCCACTGAGAGCAAAGGCAGTCTTTTGTTTTCCTTAGAGAAGTTGACACATGCTTTGACCATTGTGGATATTAATGACAGTATGAGGAACTGAATGTGAGTATACTTTGCACTTTATAAAATGATAATGTATCTCAATTTTACATCCATATGCAAGATACAATTTTCAAATTTTTTTTGTTTACTATTTTGGTTTTTTGAAACAGGGTATCACTATGTAACCCAGGCTGGCCTGGAACTTGTAATCTTCCTGCCTCAGTCTAATGATAATGCCAGGATTACAGGGATGATATAATTTTCCTATGTATATTAGAAATATTCCCATTCTATTTCTTATGCTAAAAAAGACACTTATTTGGTATCAGCATCAGTTACTTAGGAAATGAGTGCTTAAACTAATAACATAAATTTGTAAGAATATCAGATTCATGGGTGGGCACAATTGCCCTGTGGAACATGAAAAAATAATAAACAAATTTATATCCCACCTAAGGTGATTCCTTATTAAAAATATCATTTTTCAAGGGGAAGAAATTAACCATTTATTTCTGAATTGCTTTCAAAGAGGCTTGTATGGTTTTATAGGACATACCTACTATGATCTAGAACTAAAAGATTACACCAAAAAATACAAAACTTAATTTTTTTTACATAAAAAACTGGGATTTTCAAAACCACACAAGTAATGCATAGTTACACACTTGCTTATTTCATATTATTACAACAGTTACATAATCAAATATCTAAATTTTAATTTGAAGTTTTCCTAAGAAACAATGTATTTAGAAGTTCAAATTGTATTTTTTTTTAAAGGCAGAATAACAGAATTCTCATAAATTTTAAGAAGTTTTGGATGTACTTGAAAGCATTCCTTCTAATTCTGAAACCAGATTTTCCTCCTTGTAAGTGTGTAACTTGCAAAATAATTTACTATTAATAGTATTATAGGTTATGAAGTTTTGAAATAATGTGCTTAGGATCAACTTAATGACTAAGATTAGAAAGTGATTTCCAAAATATTCCAGTATAAGAATGTTCTATAAATTGTACCTGAAAATAACGCTTATCTGCTAATTCTCCAGGCAGAACTGGAGAATGTGAGCTGTTTCCAGTAGTGCTGTTGGCTGCACCAAGCCATCCACACTCTCCTTTGGCACCAATGACAGGCAATTCTGAAACTGCAGTCCTGACCAAGGATACACTGTCTTACCAAGAAACAGCAATGTCATGTGGCCTTTATATAAACCAGGGTTTTGAGATTATTTGTCAGACTGCAAAGGAGAGGTAGAACAAAGACCAGCCAAGGATCTCTGGCATGATGAATAAAATTCAACAAGATCACATACATTTAGACTCTGACTTTTGACTTGCATATTGACTCTGCAAACATTTCTTGAATATTTACTACAAGTTAAGCACAGTGCTAAGCAAATAAAGAAAAATGAAAAAAATTATATTAATAAGAACATTTTAGATGAGTATAATTTTGCTACAAGGTGATTTTATGTAGGTCATTTAATTTTTATTGTATTTATTACCTGTTTTTCTGGTTGTTATGTGTAGGAGTTGAGGAACGCCTACAACTCCAAACTAACAGCAATTTTAAAGTTTACCTTAAAAATTACCTGGAATAATAAAATTGTATAACTTTTCCATCACTCTCTTCATGAGTTGATTGAACTTTTTCATTCTTGAATTTGCATCACTGAAAAAATCTAGTTTTGCTAGGCCAGCTTCCAGAATATAAATCCCAACCTACAAAGAATTGGCAACATCAAAATGGTTTTACTGGAATACACCATTCTTTAAGAGGGCGTGAGACAAAACACTTTTTGGTATCACCATGTTTACAGGTATTCACAGTGTCTGTCCACAAACACAACATGCAGACCTACCACATTATACCACATATGTTTACTGCCAATGATGAATTCATTATGTGTTGTAACACTTGAGTTGCTGGAAAAAAATATTTCCCTTGCTGAAACCAACACCAAATTCTACTTCCAAGGCACTGATTCCAAAGCCTGATGAGTATCAGATAATTAGTGAAGTTTGTTAAAAATGCAGATTTCCCCAAAAGACTGTACTACATATGCTAAGATACTTATGCACAGCTAATTCGGGAAACCTTATTATCAGATTAAATATTAAAATGTATAGGAAAACAGACCTTGACCAATGTTAAGTACCTGACTAGTGAAACAATGCAGTATGAAACTGTGCAACTGAAATACTTGAATTTGAATACTAACATTCATATTAAGGATAAATAAATAAGAAATGTAATGATTATTTTGACTCAAATGTTATCGTTTACAAAATAAAAAGAAGCCCATGAGAGCCTAAATAATACAATTTTAAAATTTTCTAATGGTAGACCATAAATGCCAGTTTCCTTCATTTCTCCAGATGTTGAGGCTGATTCCCTAATCACTGAGATACTCTATCCTTTCACCAAAGAAAAAGAACTCCTCAGCATTACATGGAATGAGTGCCAAATATTATATTTCCTTATTATTTGGATTGATCTGGTGTTTACCTTGAGATGGCTTACTACAGTGGCAATAAATATTTAAATATTTATAAAAATCAAGATTGGGAAAATAGATTAAGACATCATTTGCAGACATACAGGCCATGAATTCTTACATACTTGTTACCACTGAACCTCAATTTTGTACTTACAATCAATAGGTAGAGAGTTACTTGGTTATGTAGTTTCATTATTCAGGAAAGAAGTAGCTGCAGTCTAATACTTCTAAATTTTCTCCTGTGCTTTGGTCAGTTCTGACACTATAAATACATTATAAATGTAATTACTTTTTAAAGTGAGAATGCATAAGAAACAGTTTTCAAGCTATGGGGTGAGAGATTCATGCCTATAATCCTAGCCATTCAGGTGGCAGGACTGGGAGGATCGGACTGGACTAATTAGTCCAGTCAAAAAGTTTATGAGACTCCATCTCAACAAAGAAAGCTGAGGATGGTGTTGTGTGCCTGTCATCCCACTGTGCCAGAAGCACAAGTAGGAAGATTATAGGTCAACATGGGTAAAAAACATCAGACTCTACCTGAAAGATAAAGAAAAAGGGTTGAAGCATGGCTCAAGTGGTAGTACCCGCAAGCATGAGGCAGAGTTGAAATTCCAATATGCCAAAAGAAGAAAACAAAACTATTCAGTTCAGCAAAGGTGACTGAGCATTTCAGAATTTCTTTTTCTTTCAAGTTTTAGCAGGAAAGCGTATTAATCTCTTTATAATACATTCATATATATTATCTCATTTGACTTTTAAACACAATTCTAAAGTGAAAGAATGGGTATTATTTACATTTCAATTGGAAAAAAGTTAAAATCACAGACAAAATTATACGGCTAGTTGCTAGTAAATGGCAAAGCTATAAATGAGTTACAAATTTATCCATTCATTTACTGAAAATCTGTTAGGTACCAAGCCCTTTACGAGGCTGTGAAGATAAAAGACTTCATTCCATCTAGCAATGAGGGAAGGATCCAAAACGTAAGCATACTACAAGTAGCCAAAACAAAAGTCAAAACATACATTAGGTATTCAGGGAGAAGAGTATACCACCAGCCACGGAATTTAAGAAAATGACAGAATATTAAAGAAAGGCCAAGAGTTAGTAGAGAAAGGAAAGGGAGCAATCTAGGCAAAGGAACTGTCAGAGGAAATGCAGACGCAAAAAGACAACAGGGTATATGCAGGAAACAAATCATTTTAGAGTTCCTGAGACAAGTGACAAAAGAGGCTCAGGGGGCCTATCAAAGGATTAGAAAGATGCTATTTGGTTCACTGGGCAGGAAAGATTTGTATTCATATTGTACTATCCCTGAAACAAAGTAGATGAGGGATCTGAAAATGAAAGACAGAAACCAGAGAAAGGGTCAAATGATTGTTGCAGTGAGAGATAGAGATGAGAACAAAACAAGTACAGACAGACAAGAGTATAGATAGAAAGGAGGAAACAGAAGGGTCATCTTGAAAAAGTATAGCTTCAAAATGAATAGCTACAAAACAGCTGTTACAGTTATTCAAAGTCCAAAATAAAGTATACTTTAAACTTAGCAGTTAAGACTTATTGCTAGTCTGTCAGACCTTCCTTCTAAGTTACCTTCAAAACGAACTGCCAATGTAAGAAGAACTTTAAAACTCATTACAGAAGTTGAATACCTTGATAATGTGATTTCCTTCTGGTCTTTGGTAAAGTTTTATTCTTTTCTTCTTTTGTAGCCATCCCAAATCTTCCAACATTTCACCACTGAAGGATGACTCCACTCGAATACCCTTATCACAAAAGCTGATCGATTCTTTTATTCCTTTTTCTTGTTTCTCTAAGTCTTCACTTTCTGAATGAACATAGATCAGGAACTGATTGCTTGATTCTGAACTCATCAATGTAAAACTCCGTTCAGAAAAATTTTCAATTAAACTCTGTTCAGGAAGAAGCTGAAGAGTTAACTCTCCCAGATGTGCTTTCCAAGAATTATCAAACTGATAGGGAGAAATCACAACATTCAACTTCACAGACAAACAGGAAAAAACACCAGCAGAGGTCTCGTCTTTTTCAGTTGGCTCTGAGAAGCTCACAGCCTCAGAACACCTCTTCTTAGGCCTGCGAGCCAGCTTTTCCTGAGGACTATCATCCAGCAAGATGAAGTGAGCAGGAGAGGAGTCTGCACCTGGGCATGGCTGCTCATCATCAGTCAAGGTGAGCAACTCACTCCTCCGGTCCTCATGCATGTTCCAACGAAGCTGCTGTTGCTTTTCTTCATCCACCTTCACAGGAGGAGCACATTTCCGTCGGCTGCTCATTTTCACGTGGCAGACGTGAATGCTAGAAGATAAACGAAACAGTGGGCACACCAAGAGAGGATTAGAATAGGCAAGCATCCCACATGAAAAAGTCAGCCTGAACTTACAAGCACATACATAAATCTTCCAAGAGATGTGCAAAAAGGAACGGGTAAACTAAGCCACACATGGCTAAGGAGCACATCACCCACAATCTCATTTATCAAATAAATTCTAACAGTTTTATTGGTCTTTAATGGACAAATTTAGAAAAGACAATCTGTTGTATAAAATAAATTCTAAAACTACACTTGATAAGCAACATGATAGGAAGGTAAGTTTCTAATAGCCTGGAAATGCTAATTTGAATTGTCAGTTATATTTAAACTCATATTATTGCTACAGAATTCCAATTTTGTTTTATAATCCCAAAGCATTAAAAAAAAAAAAACTTCACTTGACCCTTACATAGCTTAAAAACACCTAAAAATATATTTTCTTTTTCAAAGGGGAAAAATGAAAGTATAGATAAAAATTTTAAATAATAAAAATAGCAGACAAAAAATGAATAGCTAATAAGGAAGAAGATGGTGATGGCAACTAGGAGAAATGGGACAGATACTGAAGAAAAGAAGGAAAAGAAAAAACTACAGGGGATAAAAGAGAAGAGAGCATAATCATCTCAAAGGAGGAAACAGAGCTGAATGCAGCTTGATAAGGTCTGCCCCGAACTACACCTGCTTCAACAGCAGCCAATTCCTACATGCAATATAGGACAATTCACAGAGATAAACACAGTCACAATGACAGTGTCTATTCTAGCTTAGCAGCTGGGTCGGGGAGTATATAAAAAATTAAAATTTGGCTTTAAGTACAATTTAAGAAATGTTCTCAATAATTCCATTAAAATTTTTTGATGGTACTAGATTTGAACTCAAAGCTTTGTACTTCATAGGGAAGTACCCTTCCACTTGAGCCAAGCATCTAGCCCTTTTTGCCCTGGTTATTTTAGAAATACAGTGTTGAATTTTGGCCAGGCTGGCCTGGACCCTGATCCTCCTATTTAAGGCTTCCTGCTGTAGCTGCAATACAGGAATGCTCTATCACACCCACTTTTTTCTATTGAGATGGGGTCTCACAGACTCTTTTGGCTGGCCTGGACTGGATCCACAATTCTTTTGATCTCAATTTCCCCGGTAGCTAGGATTACAGGCACAAGCCACCTACACAAGGTAATAAATCCATTTTTAAGATAAAATCCAATTAGTATTTGCCAAGTCTCCACTAAGTACTTAGCACTGTGCTCTATTTTAGGGAAAGATACAAAATAATTATAAATTAAATCATGGACTCTAATATAAGACAGACAATAAATTGTGTTTTGGTTTCTTGAAGACAAACTGATCATAACATACTCCTTTATTGCTACTAACTCCCCATCCCTAATAATATGATACCAATCCTGGAAGGGATGAAAAAGGTGTCTTAGTGAAAAAAATTCAATTACAAATCCTGTTTAAAACAGGACAAAACAAAACCACTAGAGGAAATCTCAGTTGAGCAGAGAGAATTCCTGAAAAATAAGACAAAGGAAGCTGGGCTTGGTGGTTCATCCCTATAATCCCAACTACTCAGAAGGCAGAGATTAGAAGGACTGTGGTTCAAGGCCAGAGGGCAAAAAACTAGACCCCATCTCAACAAAGAAGCTGGGCAAGATGGTTCGCGTCTAAGATCCTAGTTATGTGGGAGACACAGGTAGAAGGACTGTAATCTAAGGAAGAACAAAAGACCCTGCTTAAAAAACAACTAAAACAAAAAGGGTTGGGAGTGTGGCTCAGGTGGTAGAGTGCTGCTGAGTTAAAACCCGAGTACTGCAAAAACAAAAACAAAAAAAGAAAAAAAATAAAGAACAACACAGACTGAAAAGTTAAGCAACAGCAGCAATGTTCTAGTGCAACAGAGAAAAGCATCATCAAGAGGGCTTCCATGTTCAACGGTGGAAGCAACAACACCAAAAGATGACTAAAACAGAAGATGCTGAGCAACTTTAGAAGAACAAAGTATATTAATTAAATTTGAAAGAAAAAAAAGCAGGCTAATGATTCAACAGCAGAATGGATGTAAGTACGAAGCAACTGTTACAGTGATCTCTGAAAAAGTAAAGCAAAGGAAATAAATTTTTACAGCTCTAACCAACAATTCCTGGCTTGCCTGGGACATCCCCATTCAAGTAATGAAAGCCCTGAACCCCACGAAGCTCCTCAGTACCAGGCAAAGCAGGGTGGTTGGTGGCTCTTCTCCCAGCTTGTGCCTAGGAAAGAGATTCCAGGAGCAGCATAGGAAGGGAGAACTCAACAGTCTGGTGGTCTCTTTTGAGTTAAGAAAACAAAATTTGTAACACAAAAAACCAGCCTGGAAGAAGCTGCACATACTGTTGAGGCCCTTTATCTCTGAGATGGTAATGATTTGTATTTGTAGTTGAGGGAAATAGTCAAAATTGAAGAACCAACCAACATAAATAGGCACAACAATCCCTGAAGCCCATACTCAGAATAGTTTATGGAAAAACCTCCAATAAAGGAGGAAACATGTATAGTTCTCAGAAGTGAGAACTGTCTTATCAAATTAGCCTTGATTAATAGCTAAAATAAAAATGACTTTGTTCTGAACCCATCCAAACAAACCTTAAAAACAAGCACAAAATTTAACAAAATATGTGGCATCAAATTAAAAAAAAAAAAACACAAAAAAACCTTGCCTGGGGTTAAAGCAAACACACACAAGACCGACCCATGGCAAAATTTTTTTTAAAAGACCCTGAAATGTCACAGATGGCATAATTAGAAGACATAAAAATTCAAATAGTTATTGCAGATATTCTGAATATGTTCAAGATGGTACAGGAAAACACAAAAATGATGAAGAGAAATAGAAGATACACAAGGAAGTGAGATAGAACCAATGTACATGGAAGCACAGTGTCTGAAATGAAAGGTTTATACCATGAGATTAGCAGACTGGACATGCCAAAATTAAAATTTAAAACAAGCAGAGGGTGTTTAAGCCCAGTGAGAAAGCAACTACTGAAAATGAAGTAAAGGGATAAACAAAGAGTGGAAAAACAAATAGCATCAGAGACCTATTAGAGAATGTCAGGCCATGGAGTTGGAATCTCAACAGGAAAAGAAAGGGAGGAGTGTAAGAAAAAATATTTGAGAATATCATGCAAGAAAAATTTCCAAACTTGATTAAAACAACAACAACAAAAAACTATCAATGAGGAAACCAAGAAGATCAGTGAAACCCATGGAGCGCAAACACAAGGATAATCGTAAGCCATAATTAAACTGTCAAAAAGCAATAGGATCCTTCCAAGTCCTACCTCTCTGATTTAGACACTTCCCTCAACCTGGAATGCTAACTCTGGTAAAATATCTTCCAAAAATAAAGGTGAATGGGTGACAAAAGTCAAAAGCATTTACTACTTGCAGACATACACTACAACAAATGTTACAAGTTCTCAGGTAGAAGAAATGTAATATTAAATGGAAATCTATACCTCTGCAAAGTAATAAAAGGCATAAATGGAAAATATATGTGTACTACAATAGGACTTTTCTTGTTTTAAATTTCTTTAAAAGATAGTCAACTTTTTGAATTAAAAATTGTTATTCTAAGAACTTTCAAGCATACATAAAGATAGAAAAATTACACAGAAGTATATTCACAAAGCTATATTTGTACTATGTTCATAGACTGAAAGACAAAATATCAAGACACCAAGTCCTCAATATTGATCTACTGAGTCAAAGCAAACTCATTCAAAATGCCAATAGGCTTCTTTTGTAGAAAGGAACAAGGTGGTTCTAAAATTCATACTGAAATGTCCAGGATCTAGAAGCCTCAACAATTTGAAAAAGAAGAATCAAGTTGAACGAATTACACCAATTCCAAGACTTATGCCAAAAATAATCGAAATAGTGTGACAGTGATGCAAAGACAGACACACAGATCAATGGAACAAAATTAAGTGTCCAGTAATGGACCCACACATGATAACTGACTTTTTTTTTTTTTAAATGCAGTAGGTGAACCCAGGGCTTCATGCATGCCAGGTTAAATGCTCTACCACTGAGCTATAACCTCAGCCCCAGACCATCAATTTTTGAAAGAAATTCAAAGGCAGTTGATGGGGAAAGTATATTCCTTTCAATAAATGGATATCCGTATGCAAAAAGAATGAACCTTGACCTTTACCATATAACATATATAAGAATTACCTCAAACAGACAATACCTAAAATATAAAAGCTTAAACTATAAAACTTTTTAAATAGAGGAAAAAATTTAAGTGACATTGGACTAGGGAGGGAAAGGCAAAAATTTTAAAATAGGAAATCAGACCCAAAAGCTAGAGACAAAGAAAATGATAAATGAAGTTACATCTAAGGGCATTTGTTGCCCTTAATGCAGAGAAACTAAAGCAGATACCTTAAAAGCAACTGAGGCCAATGGGAAAAGGGGACCAGGAACTAGAGAAAAGGTGAGATCAAAAAGAATTAACCTAGAAGGTAACACACACACACACAGGAAATTAATGTGAGTCAACTCCCTGTTTGGCTATCCTTATCTCAACCAGCAAAAACACTTGTTCCCTCCTATTATTGCTTATACTCTCTCTACAACAAAATTAGAAATAAGGGCAAAATAGTTTCTGCTGGGTATTGAAGGGGGGGAGAGGGAGGGGGCGGAGTGGGTGGTAAGGGAGGGGGTGGGGGCAGGGGGGAGAAATGACCCAAGCCTTGTATGCACATATGAATAAAACAATAAAAATAAATAAAAAATAAATTAAAAAAATTTAAGTGACATTGGATTAAGGAGGGAGAGGCAAAAATTTTAAAATAGGAAATCAGACCCAAAAACTAGAGACAAAGAAAATGATAAATGAAGTTACACCTAAATGAAGTACTTTGGCTTTTCATAAGATTGTTATGGAAAGAAGAAGGCAAACACGGATGGAAGAGAACATTAGCAAAACAAATACCTGATGAAGGATATGTTTGCAGGATATATAAAGAACTTTTATAAATCAACACTAAGATAGACAGTGAAATAAACTTATTTTTAAATGGACATAAATTTTGAACATGTTTCACCAAAAGTGATCTATAAGTTGCAAATAAGCACATGATAATGTCACCATCATCAGACATTAAGACCACTACAGACATAGGGAGATGCCACTCCATATGCTCTAGGATGGTTACAACTTAAAACCCTGGGGGTGTGTAGCAACCAGAATTCAATTCTCAAACATTCCGCCACAGTAGAAACACTTTGGAAAAGCCTTTCAGTTTCTGGGCTGGTGGAGTGGCTCAAGTGGTAGAGCACCCGCCTGGCAAGCATGAGGCCTAAGTTCAAACCCCAGAACAACCAAAAAAAAAAAAGTCTATCAGTTTCTAATAACATTAGATAACCCAAATAGCCATCAACTGTTGAACACATAAATAAACTTGGCATACTTATACAATGGAATACTATTCTGTGAAGAAAAGAAATAAACTCTTGATTCATACAACAAAATGGGTGAATTTTTAAAACATTATGAAGGAAGCTAGATGTGAAAGACCACATACCATTTGATTCCATTTACGTGCAATTCTAGAAAAGGCAATGATAGAAAAGCAGATTGGCAGTAACTAGGAGCTAAGAAGTGAAACGAGGTGACTGACAGCAAAGGAGCAGGAGGGAAAGATCTGAGATGACATAAGCGCCCTATGATGGTGGTTATATGATTACGTACTATATGTTTGTCAGAACTCATCAAATTGTACGCTTAAAATTATTGTATTCTATTATATATAAATTAGACCTTAATAAAGCTAATGCAAATAGCCAAAACAAAGATTAGATGCAATCGGAGCTTAAAATTATAAAAGAATAGTAAGAAGAGCTTTATTCTAATAAACTTGAAAAATCTAGATAAAATGGATTAATTTCCTAACAAGCTGTAAGTGAGCAAAATTGGTTCAAAAAATAGAAAATATGAATAGACTAGTAACCACAAAAGAGACTGAAGTAACATTACTACCCACCTAAAGTCTATCCTTCTTCCTGGCTGACAGAACATTTCTGTTATTTAGGAGCATGCGGGCCCTGTGACTCAAAGGAGGTTGGTGTCCATGAGCTTATGTGACTTCTTAGTCACAGTGATGGAACCACAATCAAGAGATGGGAAATATACTACACTTCTTTACAGAACAGTACATACATGCCAAAAGCATGGATATGGGTTGGGAATTGATGGAAGAGAATTGCACCAGTTACAAAATATGGCACATCTAACATAACTCTGAAAGCTCAAAAAGCAACTGGCTATAGAGTCACATCTCCAAAGCAATGTGGCTTGCAGGGGAGAATGTGGACTTTGAAGTCTTAGACTGTAATTTCTACCGTGGCTCACTATGTGACACTGAAATAGTTTCTAACTATTCTGTGCAAGTTTTCTCATCTCTAAATTGGGGAAGAAACAAGGATTATTAGAATAACTGAAGTACTATAGCACACTCCCAGAGTTTAACATGAATTCCTTAACTGTACTTTCAATTGTTATCATCCTAAGGCTATTCTAAACTACACATTACTATAACCAAACATTAATGTGGTACACAGATGAGTGTTTTTTAAACTTAAATGTATATTACAAGAAGAGAAATTTTAAAAGTCTTGATGCCAATGTTATACCCAAGCCAATTAAGTCACAATGACTGGGGGTAGGGCTATAGCACTGTGCCCATTACTTTTAAGTCTTCCTAAAATATTCCACTGTGCCACCAAATTGGAGAAACCTTATTATGGAAACCAGTTGCCTACTAAAATCTCTTTCCTTCCAAAGTATAGAATAGCTGGCCAGCCTAGTGACAGTCAATGGAACTTGACAAGTAGTGCCACAATTCTTACAATAAACTTGTAACAGAGATATTATTAAACCAGAACACATTCCTTCAACTATTTATGCTGTTCTTTGGTAAAACCCATTCTGTATCTTTAAATTATGTACACCACCAAAAGTAATACATTCCTTTTGATGTTTGCTTTCAATGTGATTCTTCTAATATTAGAGCCTCAAAGTATTTCAAAGGTTTTCCCTTTGTCCAGTTTTCAGATAAGCAAACACACACACACACACACACACACACACACAAAAGGAAAAAAGAAAAGAAAAAAAAAATCTAGTTGAGCCTTTCCCTAAGGAACTCCTATCCAGGAAGACCTTCTTAAACTAAAATGAGAACTGGCAGTTAATAAATACTCATGAAATTCTATATATCAGTAACCATATCCCATATCCTTCTCTATGTGTCTCCATACCTATCAATCACACCTTTGATGGTTCTACTACTACTTTTCCTTAAACACCAGTGTTTGAATAAATATGATTATGTAAAGTTTTCTATATGGATCATACTTTTACTGCCCTGTATTTAAATGCAGAAAACTTTTTACTGTGCATGTCCTTTCACCAGTTCTTGCCAGTGGCTCTCCCAGTCTTCCCTAGAAAGCCTTCTATGACCAAGACAGCTGAGTTAAGAACCTCTCCACTTTGATCCCAACTGGTACCAGTATTCACTGTGAACTACTTGAAAGCTCAAATAGCATCCTATATAGTATTGTGCCCCTAAGCCAGGTCAATACCAGGATGTAAATGATAAACAAAATAAGGTAAAACAAAGACCTCTTAACTTCCTGAATATCTCCTTCCATTTGAGCACTTTATTCACATTTCCTCATGGAGAAGTCTCTTACCACATTCTTGATGACTACAGATAATAGGAGAGTACTTTTCACTATTTCTGGCCCAGAAAAATACAGAAAAAATTGACCACGTTACATCTTTAACAGAAAATAAGCATGGTTTGCTAGAAATAAACAAACATAAATATTAAGTTATTAAGAGAAACAACAAATGACTATCAATTAAACTTAAACTCAGAATTTTCTCTATTATGGTTTGGATCTGGATGTCCCCCAAAAGCTTATGTGCTGAAAGCTTGATCCTCAATGAAGCAGTGTTCAGCGGTAAGCCTTCTGGCTCACAAGGGCTCTGAACTCATCAATGGATTAACCTACTGGTGGATTCAAAATCTGATGGCATTATTGGGAGGTGGTGGAAACTTTAGGAGCTGAAACCTTAAAGGAACAGGTCACTGAGGGTATGACCTGGTTTTATATCTTATTCCCTGCCTCTGCTTTTGCTTCCAGGATGCCAAGAGGTGAGCAGCATCTTCTACCACATGCTCCCACCACCGTTCTGTTCTGTCTCACCATAGTCCTAAAAGTAATGGAGCCAACCATGGACTGAAATCATGAGTCAAAACAAACCTTTCCTTCTCTTAAATTGTTTTTCTCAGGTATTTTGTCCTAGTGATGTACAGTTGGCAAATTCATCTCCAAATTATTATCTCTTCATTAAAAATACACACAAGCCCTGAATTACAATAAATCCATGACAGATCAGGGTTCAGACTATCCAGGTCAACAAGGAGCAGGCCTGTGCCACATTCGTCCAAAGTGTTGGCTTATGCAAGCAAGTGCAATCATTACCGGGGACTGAAAAGTCCTTTATGACCTAGTATTACCACAATTCTTTCCTTCTCTGCAGGGTTTACTCCAGCAAGGTGAGAATATTTACTCCTACTGAACCCTCACACATGATAGTTATAGCCCCCCCCCCATAAACAGGTTTTTCACCAGCAAATTCTGTTTCCCCCAAATCTTTCTGGCCTGAAGAGAATATATAATGGCATCTTTCATAAGATAACTAGTTTATCCTCAACGGCCAGCTTATGGGTGAGTGGTCCTTCAAAGCTACAGCACAGGCAGGTTATCTGGTACAGACACAACACCACTGCTCTGCTTCCAGCATAGTTACTGATCATAAACCAGTCTTTCTGATGACAGTACAGATATTACAGATCATTTCTATTCAAGGGAATATCATCACTCTTATCGCCCACTAAGAAAATTAAAAATAGCAGTGATGACTCTAAAATTGTTATTTTGTTCAGCGGAAGCCTCAAGTTAATTTAAGTGGGAAAAAAACCAAACATCTCGAGTTTCTACTTCATGCTAATGCCAAGCCATTTGGAAAAAAGGCACAAAGCTTAGTGGTCATTATTTACTAATTGTGCACGAGATCAAATCACATCTTCATTCAAGAACCTACTTTTACCGCAGAGTCAAAACACAGGCTGGTTCTGAATGCGAATGCAATGGACCTGACTCCAAAGTAGCTGAGAACTTTGGGGCAGACTAAAGTGGAAGTCTCTGTCTCCCGGTTTCACTTCATACCATCCCGCGCACCAGGTCGAGACCCCCCGGGATATGTCTATAGTGATAGGTTGTCCTCCTAAAACACCCAGATGTTCGGCGAGTCGGGGCCAGGCTGTCAGCGCTCAGCGACTCCCAGCAGGCCGGGCAAACCAGGCGCGCGAGGAGGAGGACCGCAGAGGGGGCTCCGAACACCCCGCCGGCCGGCCCGAACCCCCTTTTCCACGGCCCCCCATCTTCTCCCCGTAAAGTCCCTCAGTCGGTCCACAGGCCCGCAAGTCTGGGATGGGAAAAAGGTCGGGAGGCTCGCGCAGGATTGAGCTTTCGCAGCTCCGGGACACCTCAAGTCCCCTCTCAGTGGCCCTGCCAAGCCAGAAACGTCTCCCCTCCCCAACCTCTGTCCCCTGACCCCTGACCTCTGGTCACCCAAGCACCTACCTAGCTGGTTCACCAAGTCCCTCGAGTCTCTCTTCACCAGGCCCAGGCTCTTCTAATACCCCTGCAAACCCGGGCAGGAATCCGCCACCTCTGCCCAAGGTGGGCGCGCGCGCTTTATGCCGGGTTGTGTTGGGCTTCCCGGGGGACCCAGAAGTCACAGCGCCCAGCAGCCGGCTGCGCGCGGTAGCGTGGGGTCAGGTGAACGCGCACGTCGGGGCGCCCCGCCCCCTTTCCCCGGCTCGGGCTTCATACAGCTCTTCTGCGCAAGTCCATTCTGTAAAGCCCGTCTCTGGATACCGTTAGAGTCTCGCGATAGCGCTTGCCTCTCCCTTCCGTCACTAGCGATTGGCTGGAAGCCCGAAGGAGGAGGCGGGACTCCGCCCGGAGTGGGCGAAGCTCACCTTGCAGCGAGGGCTGGTGTGAATTGTTTTCGGCTTTAATAACAAAGGCAGGAAAGACTGCTCCAAAAGCGTCTATTTTATTGCTTCAAATGAAGCTTATCTTCTTCAATTAAATGTTCAGACATTAAAGGGAAATGTAAATAATATTTTAAGATGAGAGGAAGACTACATGTGTTGTGCAGCAACTGGCCTCCCACTGTCTGAAGTCTATTTTCCTTTGCTGCGTGGTTCTCATAGAGTTAAACCTGCCCTTGGTTAACTTTGGAATAACAGAGTCTGCAGAACCAGGATCCTGTAAACTAAACCCAGGAAACACAGAGATCTCTGTGAATACTTACAACATAGTAAGAACTCAATATGTGCTGCAGAGAGGCATCTGGGGTGTGATCTCAGAAACACTGAAGCATGTTCCTGCCTAAAAGAACTGAAGTTGATGAACGTCCAGAATAATACATAGGTTACCCAGTATAGACCATATTACAGATCTCAAAAATAGCCCCAAAAAAGTAATTTGCATGAGCTACCCCCATGTCAGTTTAGAAGGCAATAAGTTGTCTTATCCAGTACTTCATGAGGCAAGTTGAAAACATGTAAATGCTGAGCTGGAGCAGTGAGCAGTAGAGTCCTTTTTCATGGGCGAATTAATCATTTTACTAAATACAAGACATACAGAACCTTTCTTCTGGAAGTATGATTGAAAAATGTATTGTGCTGGAAAACGCTATCTTTGATAGTTTTATATCAGTTCTCATTATCATAGCAGAAAATTGAGCTCATAGTTCGGCTGAATCCAGTTGGTGCCAAGCAAAAATACCTACTAGTAAGCACAGCACCATCGAATCTTTGTTCATCTTAACTGGGATAATTTATAGATGTAATTATGGTAATCCCGTGCAAGGTATTAAACTACAGATCCAGTTGGAAATTGTGTGGAGATGTAATTTTCAACTATGGAGATGGAATTTTCTACACTACCATTCAATGGTTACAATTAAATGAAATTCTTCCTTTTGAATCCTGTTGTTACTAAGTGTCTTATACACCCTTTGAAAAATTTCTCTATGAAGGAATGTTTTTCAGTATTAGAGTCAACAGAGCTAATTCCAGAAAAATAGTTCACTTTCATACCTGACAATCCCCAGCTGTGAGACACCTGTCTCTGACAACACTGAGTGCATCCTTTTATTAGATGTCAGTAATCTAATGACATTCCATATTTGTACATCAACAAATTGGAAAAAAAGCAGTGAACCTCTCAGTGTTCATACAATTCAACCTCTTCTTGAAACTATACACGCATACCTTAATCAATTATGAGTTTGGTTTCAAACCACTCCAATAAAGTGAATATTTACACTGAAGAGAGGCTCATAAATCTTTTGGTTTCCCAGTGCATATAGAAGTTATATTACAGTACATTATAGTGTAGTCTATTACGTGTACAATAATAGCATTATGTCTAGAAACAATGTAAGCACATTAATTAAAAACATTTTACTGCTAAAAATGTTCAGCTCATCTGAGCATTCGGAACATCATAATCTTTTTTCTGGTGGAGTATTTTGCCTTGATGATGATGACTAGGAATTAACAGGGTGGTGATAGCTGAAGAGTGAAGTGGATATGGCAATTTCTTAAAATAAGACAATGAAGTTTGTTAGATTAATTCACTCTTTTTTAAAAAAAAGATTTCTCTGTAACCTGTAATGCTATTTCATAGGCACCCATAATAGAACTTCTTTCAAAAATGGAGTGAATTCTCTCTGCTTTGTCAACTAAGTTTATGACATATTCTAAGTCTTTTGTTATCATTTCAACAAAGTTCACAACATCAAAAGTAGATTCCATCTCAATAAACCATTTCTTCACTTATCCATAAAAAACAAATCCTCATCCATTAAAATTTTATCATGGTATTTCTGCAATTCACTCACATCTCCAGGCTCCACTTCTAATTCTAGCTCTCTTGCTATTTCCACTACATGTCAGCTGTTTCTCCCATTGAGGTCTTGAACTTCTCAAAATCATCCATGACGGTTGGAATCAACTTCTGCCAAACTCCTGTTAATGTTGATATTTTGACATCCTCCCATGAGTCATAAAGGTTTTAATGACATTAGAATGCTGAATCCTTTCCAGAAGGTTTTCAACTTACTTTGTCCAGATCCATCAAGGAAACTACTGTCTATTTCAATATAGCTATTCAAAATGTAGTTCTTAAATAGTAAGACTTGAAAGTCAAAATGACTCTTTGATCCATGGGCTGAAAAATTGATGCTGTATTAGTAGGCATAAAGAACACCATTAATCTTAATGTGAATCTTTGTCTGAGCTCTTGGTTGATCAGGTAAGTTGTCAGTGAGTATAATATTTTGAAAGGACTCTTTTTTCCTAAGTAGTAGTTCTTTACAGTGGCTAAAAATATTCAGTAAACCAAACTGAATGTGGTGACACATGCCTGTAATTCCAGCTACTTGAGAGGTAGACATGGGAGGATTGCCAGCTTCAGCAAAGTTGGTGTGAGACCCTATCTGAAAAACAAACCAATGGCAGAAAAAATTGGGGGCATTGCTCAAATGGCAGAGTGCTTGTTTAGCAAGTATGAGGCCCTGAGTTCAATCCTCCATACTGCATACACACACACACACACACACACACACACACACACACACACACTGTAAATAGATGTTCTATCACACAGGGTTTTGTTGTTTCAGTTTTAGAGAGCAGGTAAAATAGATTTAATATAATTCTTAAAGACCCTGGGGTTTTTAGAGCAATAAATGTATAGTTAGCTTCAACCTAAACTCCTGAGAGTCAGCCTGTCCTTTGAAGTTTTGAAGCTACACATTGACTTTTCCTCTCTAGCTATAAAAGTCTCATCTTCTTCCAAAAGAAGGCTGCTTGGAGTATACTGAATCTCCTCTGTGTTCATCAGTCATCTCAGCTGAATCTTCTGGATTCTTGCTGTAGTTTTTGCATCAGCACTTGTTTCTCTGTCTTGTACTTTTATGTTATAAAGACAGCCTCTTTCCTTAAATATCATGAACCAACTTCTGCTACCTTCAAACTTTTTCCAATCTCAGCCTTCACAGAGTAAAGGAGAGTTAGGGACTTGCTCTTGATTAGGCTTTGGTTTAAGGGAATGTTGTAAATGGTTTGACAGTCTATTTACATCAATAAACCTTTCTCCATACCAGTAAGTCTGTTATTTTTTTCTTTTAATTCTTGTGTTCACTGGAGGGTAGTACTTTCACTTTCCTTCAAATTAATAATTTGATGGTCCAAGAGGACTAGCATTTATCCCAACTCAGCTTTCAACATACCTTCCTAACTAAGCTCAAATATTTCTGGCATTTGATTTAAAGTGAGAGACCTGTGACATTTCCATTCACTTGAACATGTAGAGGCTATTGTAGTATTATTAATTGATCTAATTAAATATTTTGTGTCTCAGGGAATAGAGAAGCCTGAGGAAATGGAAAGAGATGGAGGAACAGCTGTTGGTGGAGCATTCAGAATGTATTTGCTAAGCTCACTTTCATTTATGCGTGCAGGGTGTGGTGCCCAAAGCAATTACAATAGTAGTATGAAAGATCTCAGATCACAGACATAATAATAATTAAAAAGTTCAAAACTTTGTGAGAATGACCAAAATGTAACCCATAAATACAAAGGAATACACGCTGTTGGAAAAATGGCACCAATAGGATGCCAATGCAAGACTTGCTCACAAACAATTTGTAAATAAAACATGGTATCTGTGAAGCATGATAAAGTAATCCATTTCCTTTTGAGGACAGTAGCTTTATTCTTGATGTACCCCTAACTCAAGACATCTATCCTATAAGTGAATGCTATAAGTTGTTTCTGCAGGAGAAAGACTATTTGAGAGGAAGCAGATAAGTTAATACAAATTAACATGGGTCAGGAACAAGATAACATGATTTATCAATGTAGAGCCTTATATTTTGCAAATCCTTTCATGTATATTTTTCCATTTGTTTCCTAATTATATAAATATTTTTCATTTTCATTTTATAGAAATGCAATCAGAGACTAAGAAACTTGGCAATTTGCCACAGCTTATCTTTGTGAGAGCAAGAGAATGTAGAACTCTAGATTTCTGTCCAAGCTGTTGCCTCTTATTACTAAATCATGTTTATCAGTAATAATAAAATTTTGTCATCAGACTCAGTAGCTTAAATGGGCAAAATGAAGGCCAGAAGCAGGTAATTTGATGACCCAGTACTGTTCATTTCAACAACAACGATCATTCAGGGCAGCACTCTTTTCTCCTCCACAGAAAGACCATCAACGAAATAATTGAATGTATTCCAAATTCTCCTTCTTTTACTTGCTCTGTAGAAGTGAAGTAGGTAGCCTCCCAGTAGGACTGAGAATTGCCAAACATGATTCCTTGTCAATTCCCCATTGCCAGCTTGTGTTGGGATTGCTTTTCCTTCTCTAGTCAGAATGAAAATATTAGAGTGAAAGTCACTATTCCAGAATGAACAGCAATGCTCAAGTTCCCTGTTAAAATGTACATAATGCCAACAGACAGTGTGATGAAGGAATATGTTTTTAGAAAATTGGTGCTAGCAGGAGTTACCAGCTATGCTGAAAGAAGTCATATCAGGTCAAACAAACAGAAAAATGGTATCAAGGATCAGAAATCCTTTATATGACCTATTATGAGGCAGGAGGTGGATGAACTGAATATCAGTCATCACGTTTAAAGCCTCACAGCTTCTTGTCAGGCTAG